CGCCACGCTGACGCCGCGCTGGAGGCCGGCGCCGACTTCCGAGGCGCTGGACGCGGCGGTGCGCGCGGCGGCGGCAGCTGGCGCGGCGGTGGGCGAGGCGCGGCGCGTCCTGCGCGCGCAACAGGCGCTGGAGCGGTCCCTGTCCGGCGCGCTGGCCGGGCGCGCAGCGGCCGCCGAGCTGGAGGCCAAGCTGGCACTGGCGCGGCGCGAGGGCGTGCGTTGCCTGGCACTGCTGGAAAGCGCGGCGCGGGCGCGCGCCACGCTGGAGCTGGAAGAGGCGGCCGCCGCGCTGCGTGCCGCGCTGGATGCCGGGCGGGGGGGGCGGTGGGCGTGTGCGAGGAGTCCTGCGGCGCGGCGGGGGAGGCCTCTCCGCGCCTGACCCGGCTGCGCGCCGGGGTCCAGCGCGCCGAGGCCGTGCTGGAGAGCACGGCGCGGGGGCCAGAGGAGGCCTTCGCGCCTGGCGGGGAGCAGCCAGAGGCCGGTCCCCGCGCCGCGCTGGCGGCCCTGGTCGCCGCGGCGCGCGGGGCGGTGCTCAACGCCCAGCGCGAGGCGGCGCGGCTGGCCGAGGCGCGGGCGGAGGAGGCGCGGTGCCGGCGCGAGCGCGCGCAGGCCGCCCGCACCGAGAAGGAGACCGCCGACCGCCAGCGCGCGGAGCGGTGGGTTGGCGTGGGTCGGGGAGAGGGACCGCGGCGGGGGCCTCGGACGGCGTGGTGTGGAGGTCGATGGGATGGTGAAAGTTCATCGTGGCGCGAGGGTTTCTGTGTGCAGGTGCAGCGAGCCTTTGATGGCCCACAGCGATGACGTAGGGTGGCAGCAAAGAGACTCTCGGACCATCCGCTCCCCCCAAAACAAATTTCCCTGCAGGCTGCAAGCGGAGCGAGCGCTGCGCAAGGCGTCTGCCGAGGCCTCCCGCGCCGAGAAGAAGGAGCGTGAGCGCCTGGCACGCATGGAGGCCGAGGCCGACCGCAAGGTCGGTTGTGGTGGGGGTTCCGTGCATGAAGGGCCAGAGGGCGAGAGCTCGGCTCGACAGGAGCCTGGGACTGCCGGTCGGGCGCCGTCGACATCCAGGCGCAGCACAGGCCCCGATCGGCTCCTCGTGTGCACATCTCCAAGATTGTATGCATGCAAAACTGGTCGCCGTCGCTCGCCATGCCAACCCCTCTGTCCAACCTCATCAGATCCTGCAGGCACGGGAGAAGGCGGCCCGCCAGCACTTTGCGGCCCTGCAAAAGGAGCGACGGCGAGCGGTGCCCAGGCCCTCGGCGCTGGGGGCCGAGGCGGCGTGCCCCTCCCCTGCCTCCTCCTCGACGGCCCCCTCACCAGGGCCTGCGCTGGCCACTGCCTCCGCCAGCCCCTCGCACGAGGCCACCGACCCTGCCTCCAGCGAAGCCTGCACGCCGCGGGCCGGGTCTGGGGACGCGCTGGGCCAGCGCTCCGTCTCCCCCTGGGCGGCCCCGCTCCCGCGCCAGACCAGCGACCCCTCGTCGGTGGCCGCCGGCGCTGCCAATCTCGCGGGCCTGCGCTGGGGCAGTGGCGGCTGGACGGGCCTGGGCGGCGCCGCCGCGACGTCGCCACCCCCTGCCGGCCCGTATCCAGAGGCCGGCGGCCGGGCCTCGCGCCAGGCGGCCCTGGTGGCGGCGTTGGACGCGGCGCGCCAGCCGGAGGCGTGCCGCTACTTCGTGCACGGGTACTGCCGCGAGGGGCGGCGCTGCCGCTTCGCGCACGCGTTGCCGCACACGCTGCCGCAGACGCCGCTCTGGGGCGTGCCAGGCGAGGGCGGCGAGGCGCCGGACGGCGAGAGGCCGGAGCGTACGGCGCCGGGCGGGTACGCCGCCGCGCCCGCGCCCGGCGCGAGCTTCTCGCCGCCGGACTCGGCGGCCGGCGGCGAGACGCACCCCGCGCCGCCCTCCCCCGGCCCGACCCTGCCCGGCACCTTTGCCTTTGGCGCCCCGGGGTCGGAGGCCTTTGGCGGGGCCTCCGCCTCGGCGCAGCCCTTCTGCCTCGACGCCTTTGCGGGGCGGGGCGGGCTGGAGCGCTGGGAGGCGGCGCCGCTCTCCGCCTCCCTCCTCTCCGCCGCCACCCTGTCGGGGCCCTCCCTGGACTCGCTGCGTCGGGTGCTGCCGGAGTTCCTCCGCGGCGAGGCCCTGGACATGGACGACTGAGCACTGGGTATCCGGGATACCGAGGCCGGGCCTGGGATGCCAGGCGTCCCGTTATCTGGGCGGCTGGAGCAAAGGCCATGCCTCTCACGGTCACCCTCCTCTGCACATGCTCCCCACTCCCCTCTGCGCCTCACGCTCCCTCTGCAATCCATGTGATCCAATGAATAGTGTTTATTCCCGAGGTGAAACCCTCCCCCACCCCTTGTGCCCAAAGCATCCCCCTTCCGGCCCTTGGGTGTGTATTTCTTACGACTGTAATTCCCAGAACCAGGCATCCAGCGAGCGCCCGGTCGACACCATGGGACAAGGTCAGGCAGGTGGCGCCACCAGGGGTTGCACGCCTCAGCCATGAGAGCTGGGAGCCCCGGCACCAGACCACGACGACAGGAGCGGCTGCCATCATCGAATGTACAGTGCGATGACGCCCAGCAGGAGCACCAGGAGGAAGGCAAAGGGCGCGCCGGTGCCCACGGAGGCGGGGATGGGCATGAAACGCACGGCGCCAAACACGGCAAACCCGCCCAGGACCAGCCCCGCCATGCCCGCCGCCAGCGCCCCCCAGATGGCGTTGCCGCCGAAGAAGGGGCCGTCGGGGTCGCGCCGCGTGCGCTTGTCATACAGCTTCCACACAGCGTAGGCCAGGGCACCGCAGAGGGGCAGCGTCGGCTCCGCCGCGAGGCTCTGCCAGCCCGCCCACACCGCCAGGACGAGGAAAACGGTGCCGTCGTTCACTAGGGTGCTCACGGGGACGGAGGGCTCCACCGCTGAGCGCACCCTTTGCCAGAGCGAGACGCGCTGCGTAGGTGGGAGGGGGACGGAGGGGGATGGGAGGAGGTGCAGAAGGGGGGGTTTGACATGCCAACGATGCGGACTGCCTCTTTGGAAAGTAAAAGAGGGTATCTGGAAGAACTTCATGGCTTTGAGCAAGACAGGGGCCTTTGTATTGACAGGGTTTGCCAGCAAAGCCCCGCAAGGAACCCCCCTCAATAGTGCAGCATGCAATGCAGGTGCACCAGGGTGCCTCATCCGGTGCCCAAGCGAGTCCGCCCCGCAAGAATCACACAGCTCCAGAGCCTGTGCACATGGCGATATGACCCTGTCCCTCAGCCTTGCGCAAAGCCCACGCTCGACATACCTCTTCGCCGAGGGCGTCGGTCTTGCGGCCCCGCTGCGGCGGCTGGAAGCCGTGCTTGTGCCGCCACTTCATCCTCTCGGTGAGGATGGAGTCCAGGGCGAGCTCTATGGACTCCCTGGATGGCGCGTGATGCTTGTGGATCTGCGTGGCAGCGAGCGGCAGACGCGTGGCCACCCTGGTGCCGGGCGTGCTGCGTCCAGGTCAGAAATCTCCGGGTGGAGACTACCAGGGCCAGACCTCGGCCCCATGCACTCCCGCGCCTCACCTCAAAAAGGTAGTTCCTCGCCTCCTGCACCTCCTCGTACGAGGCCTGCCGGTCGACGCCCAGGAGCCTGGGGCAGAGATATGGCAGCAGGTCGCTTGTGAAAGATTGAAAGTATAGGGCTTGCACCACAACCTTGCAAGCCATCATGCCCACCACCCGACTCCTCCTCAGCACATCAATCCTGCAGCCTACTTGTAAGGATCTCGCTCCTTCAGTCGCGGAAAGACTTGGATGTCTTCAGGGAGAGGAGTGGACTCGGGCATGTCCATCCACCCAGAGCCCACAGAGGACCCAGCTCCAGGCCTCCTCGGCATCCTCGAGCCCTGGAACCGCACCCTGCGGCATGATGAGATGCAAGTTTTTGAGGGGATAGCATGCTCACGGGTACACTCAGAAGCATGCCCGGACCCAGGATTCAGCGGGCACGACATGTATCTTACCTGGAGAACTGCTGTGCTCCTGCTGGTCGCACGGTGAAAAACGGCGCGGCACTGGGTCGTATCTGCAGGCATTGCACAGCCACAGTCTGAGGGGCTAGCATGTGTGTGTGTGCCATCGCTCCGCCCCGGTCCTGGACAGAGGCGCGGACAGCCCGTGCCAGGAGTCTCGCAGAGGGCCGATTCCCGCAGTAGTAGAATCCCTCGCGATTCCCTGGTAGCTACTATATCACATGCTCCTCATCGGCCATGCAATATCCCACCATCCTCTGCCTGCATACCGTGTACGCAATGCATTGTCGATGAGCGAGAGGGGATACCCCATCCGCCAATGCGCCCAGCATGCGGCGCAGGCACCTCAATCGGCAATGCTTCCCGAGTACTGTGTTGAGAGCGAGTCCAGGCTGTCACAGGAATGTCAAGGGCAGATCAAACAATATGCACATGATTTCTTGATTATGTAAATAGATCATACACTTCGCTTCTAGGAGTGGTGAGGAATTGAGAAGTGTCGGCAGAGTTGGCCGCCCACTTGGAGCGTTCGGGCTCCCCTCCCTGAGGTGGCGAGTCCCTGTGGCTGGCATGAGCGCATCGCATCTAGATGCTGATGTAACTATCGATGCAGGTCAGTAATGATTGTCGGGCCCTACCAGGGGCAAAGTGAGTATGCTGGCGCTGATGTGGAAGTGCTGTGCTATGCAGTCCTTGCTGCAGGTGATGCGACGACTACCTCCGAGGTCTGCTCTACCTCATATAAGACTGATTCACATTCAAACAATGCAGCTTCATGTGATCCTGCTGTAATCTGGACAGAGGGTGTCCGGCACTTGCTGAGCGAGGGCCTGGGCCCTGCCCGCTTCCAGGCGGCCACGCGGCGGCTCAGGGTGCCTCCCCTCACCACCTGCCTGCGCGTGAACTCGGCCCGCGCCAGCCCTGCTGACCTGCTGCGCCTGCTGCGCGGCGCGGCCGAGGCGCAGGGCACGCCCGAGGCGGCGCTGCCCCGCCTGCACCCCCTCATCCCCGAGGCCATCCTCATTCCCGGCAGCGGGCCCCACAGCGTCGACTACTCGGCCGCAGGTGCTCGCCTGGATCTTTTGATCGGCGGGGTCTGGGGTGCAACCGGCTGTACTGCACCAGACTTTGCCTGGCTCTGGTTGCAGCCTGCCGGACACGGCTGCCTGCACTCTCGCAGCGATAGAGTACCCCCAAACCCTCCTCCTGCTCCAAGTCTCACCTCACCGCCCCTCCTGCACGCACTGGGACTGCGCAGAGGGCCGAGAGGTGGTCATCGTGCGCAAGGCGGGGGAGGCGGTGCTGCGGGGGGCCGACGTGTTTGTCCCCGGCGTGCTGGCCACCACGCCCGGCCTGTGCCCCGGCGACGTCGTCGTCGTCTCCATCGCCCTGGAGCGCCCCGGGTCGGAGCGATACGGCATCTCGCGCGGCTACCGCCTGGGCTCGGACCCGGGCCTGGAGGCCGGCGTGCCGCCGCGTGTCCGCGTCGGGCTGGGGCGCTGCCTGCTGTCCCGCGCCGACATGTTCCGGCACGAGCGCGGCGTGGGCGTGGCCCTCGTCGCCAGGGTCTACCGCCCCGGCGCCCCGGCCTGCGCGGTGCCGCCCGGCACGGCCATGCTGCAGAACCTGCCCAGCCTGGTGGCGGCGGCAGCGCTGGATCCCGCACCGGGGTCGCGCGTGCTGGACATGTGCGCGGCGCCGGGGGGGAAAACGACGGCGCTGGCGGGCCGTCTCGCGGCGGCGGGGCGGGGCGGCACCATCACCGCCCTGGACCGCTCCCACGTCAAGGTGGCGCACATCCGGCGCCTGGCGCGGGAGGCGGGTGTGGAGGCGCTGGTGACGGCGTACCGCGCGGACGCCTGTCGCTGCGTGCGGGGGCTGGCGGCGGGGTCGACCGGCGCGGGCGAGCGGGGGGCGACCTGCGCCGAGGGTGCGGGGCCGGCTGCCGAGCGGGGGCCGTCGAGCGGGCCGCCCCAGGGAGACGTCGCGGGGGCGAGACATCCTCACGAGTCCCAGCTGGCCGCGCCCATCAGCGAGGGCCTGCGGCGACGCCTGGAGCGTCAGGCGCTGGCGCGTCAGCGCCACGGCCAGCAACTGATCCTGTCGGCGCACACGGCAGAGGTGAGGGGTGGTCTCCGGTGGGGTGCTGCTGGGCCCGCTGAGGGTGGGCCTGCAGCGCCGCATGCCACAGAGTGCCGCTCGCGCAGCCACGCATGCCGCCGCGCGTGTGCTGATGCCCTCCTCGACGCGCGCATGCCCTCCCTCATCTGCCCAGGGCAGGGAGGCTGAGTGCCCCGGCTTTGACCCCGGTTCCTTCGACCACGTGCTGTGCGACGTGCCCTGCTCCGCCCTAGGCCTCAGACCCAGGTGCGGTGCCCTCACTCTTCGCCTGGGGGAAATGACACAAGAGTCGGCACCTGATGCCTGCATGCCGTCGCCCAACCTCCATGCGACTCGATCGCATGTGCCGCTGCGCTGCACTAGGTCTGTGGAAACCACACTCCGCTCCTGCTCCCCAGGCTGGCTGCTCATCCTCCCCCCCCCCCGGGGCCCATGCGCCCTCAGGTTCCGCCACGAGCAGACGGTGGAGGAGCTGGTCGGCACCGCGCAGTACCAGCGCCGCATCCTGGCCGCCGGCGTGGGGGCGCTGCGCCCCGGCGGCACCATGGTCTTCTCCACCTGCACCATCAGTCACCTGGAGAACGAGGCCAACGTGCGCTGGCTTCTGGACAGCTTCCCCCTCCGCCTCGTCCCGGCCCTGCCCAGGCTGGGGGGGCCGGGACTGGTCGCGCCGCAGGCCCAGCCCCCCCTCCTCACGGCCGCGGAGGCGGCCATGGTGCAGCGCTTTGACCCCGGGGAACCGGCCTCGGACACCATCGGCTTCTTCATCGCCAAGTTCGTCAAGCTGTGACGTGCGCGGGGCGGGGGGCTCATGCGTGGTGTGGCAAGCTCGGGGGGCGCCGTTGCAGCGGCCCCGCAGCACGACGAGCCACCCAGGGGGGCCTGCAGCGATGCTGCTCAGAGGAGGAGCGCATGTGCTGGCGCACGAGTGCCGAGCGATACAGTCCCTGGCTGATGCAGCCCAAAGCCCGCGTGCGGCACGCAAAGCAAAGCTATAACTTTTACTCCTTCTTCACTCCATCTCTTCTTGCTTCCCAATTGCTGCTAGCAGTGCTGCGTGCGACACAGTCAAAGGACACCACGGTAGGGCGGCAAGCGTGCAGACCGACCCCGAGCTCCCAAAAAGCTCTCCGCCGATCAAACACGCGTCCCCCTGCACTCACGGCCGCCGCCCCGTGCCCACGGCAAAGAGGGAGTAGCCCAGGAACATGGAGGCCACGATCTGGTTGTAGTAGTCCAGCTTGTGCGCTGCGGGGGGGGAGTCCACCCCCAGCCAGCGTCGCACGCCCTCCGCCCGCCAGGCCAGGAAGAGGTAGAGGAGGGCGGCGACCAGGAGCAGCGCGCGCGCGGGGAGGGACAGCGGCCGCCGCGCGGCGGCGGCCATCCGCGCGTTCTCGGCCCGCGACAGGTCGGCAAGCGCGGCCGAGCAGCCGGCCACCACGCGCTCGGCGGCGCGGCCCACGCTCTCCGCGCCTTTGCCGCGCGCGGCGCGCGCCTTGGCGGCCAGCGCCTGCCCAAAGGCCCGGAAGTAGGCCAGCAGGTCCGCATAATCCTCCACGTCGTGCATGATCTTTGCCGTCTGGCCGCGCCGCATCTTCACCACCCCAGTGAACACGCTCGGGTTGTCGAAGCAGGCGGCCAGCGTCCCGATGGCCATGATCTTTTCGTGGGAGGGGTGGGGAGTGGGGAAATGAGCGGCGAATGAGGAGGGGACAAGGAGGATGTAGGGTCTCCTTGCGCCTCATGAACAAACAGCTGGCACTGCATGCCATGCAAGGACCTCCTTGGGCAGCTCGTCGACAGGATCGTGACAAGCAGGGTGCCTGGCACCTCTGCACAAACGGTTCCCGCACCCTCCCTGCAGCCATCCCACGCCCAAACTACCCATCCGCCGCCACCCCCCACCTCACTCACCTGGGGCACGGCGCAGAAGCGGAAGATGGGCCGGTTCCTCAGGCGCTGCATGTAATCCAGGGAGGCATCCACATGGCGGAGGGCATCCGCGATCTGCGGCGATGGTGAGCAAGAGTGGGGAGGGAATCGGGCAAGCTGGCCGCTACGCAGTGGCGGTCTTCATGTCGTTCACACGCGCACACGGTACAGTCAGTGTTGCCAGCCACACAGTCAGCCCCGAGGACTGGGCCCTCCAGCACAGGCCTACCCCCACTCAATCCTCACTGTACCATGTCGTTCAGGCATGCGACCGCCGCCTCGGCATTCTCCGGATCTTTGAAGTCCTCCAGGCTGTCGCCATGCTTGCCCCAGATCTCCTTGGGCCAGAACATGCGGGGCGCCGGCTCCTCCATGATGTCCTCCTGTGGGAAAGGAGGGAAAGGGAGGAACAGGGAGGGGGGTGGAGGGGATAGGTCCAATGGCACGATCCTCACTCCATGAGGCTGAGGGCCTTCCAGTCCCTCGCCTGGGCCCGCCTCAACAGGGCGCAGACCCGGTGCCTGTGCTCCTCCAGTCCACCCGCGACTCACCAGGTAGTCGCGGATGATGTTGGTCTTCTGCAGGAACAGCCCCATGCCGTTGGACAGCTCGTGCAGCGAGGCAAAGTCCTCGCTCTCCAGGCCTACATCCGGGGACAAAGGATGCAGCCCAAGCTCGTGTGCAAGAGGACCAGGGGAATTCAGCTGGAGGCCCAGCATTTGGGGCATTCATACATGCCGCATTGTGGCTGCCTGGTGTCCTTCACGAAGCCCCTCCTCATCACCTGAGCCGGCAAAGAGGTTGGACAGACCGACGCCCACCAGCCCGGCGACATAGTGGCAGTAGAGGTCGTAATCCTTGACTGTCTCCACCTGGTGCCAGGGTGCCAGGGTGCCACGGAAGATGGGGAGGTATACCTGGACCAGGAGGCTTCCCTTTCCGGAATGCATTCCTTTCCTTCCCCCATTGCAACGCAGCAAGCCCCACCTCCTTGACGATGAACTCTGCCATGCCAGCCCCCATCCTCCGGCAGATGTCGGTGATGACCTCCTGGTACTGGGGCTCCAGCCCCTGGAAAGCGGCGCAGACGACGGGATACTGCTCCATGAGCTCCACATAGTGCCCGTGCCCACACTTCATGCTCCAGTCCCTGGCCAGGGACAGGGCGGGGCTCGAGGCTGGGGTTGCGGCAGCATCGTGGTGTTGATGGGGGCATCATGCGCCTCCAGCGGCAGCACCCTGCCCAACCAAGATCCCCCCACACCCCCAACAACGCGGCCTGCCACGCGCACTTCTCGTAGGTCTTCTCGTGGAAGGAAAGCAGGATGGGAACCTTCTCGGCCTGGTCAATCGCCATGTCGTCCTCCACAGTGTCCAGCGCCCTCAGCACCAGGTAGAAAACGCACACCGCGTCCCGCAGCTGCTCCGGCAATTGCTGGATCACGATTGCGAAACTGCAGCAGGTGCATCAGGGTCAATACTTCCGAATAAAGGTGTGTGTGCAGTGTCTCGCCGGGGCTCAGCTCACAGGGAGCCCTGGCAGCGCCCTGCATCCCAGATCCCAAGCCCCTCTCCCCCCCCTTTCCCCTCCTACGCCCTGCTGCTCACCTCCGCGACACCTTATTCAGCATGGAGTAGCAGAATGCAAGGTCCGGGTCATGTGGCAGCACTGCCGCGCGGCGGGCAGCCAGGTACATTGCCGCCTGCATGAGGGAGTTGGAGTGAGTATCAGCACAGCACTCCGACCCAGTCGAGGGGTTTGGAGCCGGGGTTGGGGAAGTTGCGTGGATTACCAGTGCGCACCATTGGGATGATCTCGTCCGGGTGGGAGAGCAGCTCGCCCAGCTTTCCCATGGCGATGGACGGCAGGGTCCAGACCGCAGTGATTGGGTCGGTGCTTGGGGACGACCTCGGCCAGGAAGAATCGGCCAGCAAGGCTCAAAACACCCTTGGGATCGATCCACGAATGACTTAAGGGAGTAAGGCAATCGGCCAGCTGGCCCGTGCAACCTACTGTTCATCCATGCGCATGGCGGGTGTGCAATGCCCGCCCAAGTCCGGTCGTCGCCGGGGTTTCAATTTGCACGATGCTGACATGGCTCATGAAGCGGGTCAGCCAGAATTTACGACAACACAGTGCTTCTTTGATCATGCATGGAACCATCGGATAATGTGATCACAGTGCTGCATCTTGTGAGAGATACAGGCGTGCATGACCTGCCCGGCATCGCCTACGCCGGACCCAGGTCCAGATAGCTTGCACAGCAGAGGCATGATGCCGGGGGCATGCCACGGCCTTTGATCGGCGTGTGGCTGCAGGAGCTTGGAAAAACCATGAAGGCTTGCTTGGGTGCCAATGCCTTCGTGCTGGCGCCCTGGCCTGGTGTATGGGCGACCGGCAGCCGGTCCATCGCTGCCCACTTTCGCCACCACATGCGCGGCGGGGATCTGCATGCGCATCCCTCCCATGGCAGGCTTCGCCCCGTCACCCCACTGCTCGCCAGGCGAGTGACCAGCGCAGCCGCTCCCGCTGTGTCTGCCTCGGACCCCCTGCTCACCCAGCTCACGGCGGCCCTGGAGTGGGAGACGCGGCATGGCTGTGCCAATACCCTCGGCTCCCGAGGGCAGGCATTCTGTGACTGGGCCACGGCGGCCATGGACAGCCTGGGTGCACGTGAGGTGGCTGCTTCCACGAGGCTGCTGGGCTATGAGGCGGCCGGCGCAGCTCAGCGCCTGGACACCTGCCGGGGGTTGAGGGCGTGGGTGGCGCGGGCCACCGGCAACTCGGCGACCAGCGCGCTGCCCGATACTGAGCATGCTGCCGCCGCCACGCCCCCGCCCGGCATGGGGGCCTCAGCTCCTAAATCAGTTGGGAAGAACGCCGGGCCGGCACGGCAGCCGGCGGCAGTCCCCCGGGGACGGAACGGCCTGGCCATCCCCAGCACCGAGGACTTCAAAGTGACCTTTGCGGCAGCAGCGGCGGCCGGCGCCGGCCTGCCGCCCCTGGCCGCCGTGCAGTCCCAGGGCTCCCAAGCCTGGCATGAGGCGCGATCAGCACGGCTCACTGCCTCCGCCTTCTCAAAGGCACTCGGGTTCTATCCAGGTGGGAAGAGCAGGGTGGGACAGACTGTGCCGGGCCTGGGCTTTGTGAGCTCAGAGGCTGGCTGCCGCTTTGGAGTAAGACCTCCGCGGCCTCACCCTCTCACCTTGCCAGGAGTGCGTCGACAGCTGTGCCGCTACCTTCCCTTTCGCAGCCCACCAGTGACACGTGCAGCCGTGCGCTGCCCTCAGAGCTGTGCACGACCCTGCCCCACCCCCCTTCTCCGTACGTGCAGGAGATCGTGAGACGCTGTGGAAGGAGAAGCTGGGCCTGCTGCCTCCGTTCCAGGGGAACGATGCCACGCGCTGGGGCACTGGGGCTGAAGCAAGGGCGCTGCAGTCCTATCAGCGCAACACAGGTTGGTGCAACGTGGATGCCATTCGCAGTGTGCCGAGGGCGTGCCCTCCAAAGCCTGCATTTCCCGTCCTGAATGTCTGCGGCCCTGGGATCAGGACGCCTTTGTCACCATGCGCGCACCCGGCGGGCCAACTCCCCAGCGACTTGCCCCGCTCTGTCCCACAGGGTATGTCGTGCAGGGCTGCACATTTGCCGTCAAGGCGGATGATGCGGTGCATGGCTGGCTGGGCGCCTCGCCCGACGGGCTGGTGGAGGCCGGGGCTGGACCCCCGGGACTGCTGGAGATCAAGTGCCCTTTCAACAAGGGTGCCCCAGAGGAGGCCTGGCCGCCGCAGCATGCGATCTGGTACTACATGCCCCAGGTATGGAGCACAGGCCCGGCGCATTTGTCTGCCTGCAAACGCACGAAATCCCGCCGGAAGACTGTCACCTGCCAGCATTGTCCTCCCAATACACGCTCCTCATTATCCCCATTCAATCCCTTCTCCATGGCCCGTCTCCCCTGCCACACTCCCCCCTACCCAGATACAAGGACAGATGGAGATCATGGACCGGGAGTGGTGCGACCTGTATGTCTGGACTCCGGCCAACGGCGCCGCTGCCTTCCGAATACCGCGGGACCGGGCCTACTGGGCGGCCTGCTTCGACGTGCTGGCGGAGTTCTGGTGGGCACACGTGGTTCCCGCCCGGCTGGCACTGGATGGGGGGAGGGAGGAGGGGCTGGAGGGCATGGCACCCCCGCCGCAGCACCCAGCCACAGAGTGGCTGAAGGCCGAGAGCCAGCACCTGGCACGAGCCGCCCCGCGAGCCTTTCATCCCCCCGACCGATCCGCATGACCGTCCTGTGGCTTGAATATAAGCTAGTGCCATCACTGCTCTTCTGAAAACTCAAGGCTGGTTGGGCTTGAGCCTCATCTGGGTATTACTCCTCCGGCTGCCACTGTGGGGAGTGCCACGTAGGACCGGCTCCCCGTCTCGGAGCCCGGCGGGGCATCAATCCACGACCAAAACTCGTCGAGGTTACCCGGCCCCTGTTCTGATCCGTTCTATCCCATGCCTCGAGCTCCCTTCAGGGCCTTCAGACCCAGCCGACCTGCGCATTGGGGGGCGATCACACTTGGGTCCGTCCTCCTCCTCCTGATCCTGGGATCGCACTCGCTTGGAAGCCCTGGACGCCTCCTGGCCCTGACCATGGCGCATCCGATCGTGCTCAGGAACTCCAATGGCACGGAGGTGGACATCCTCCCCCTGGGCGCCATCATTCAGAGGCTACGGGTTGCCGACAGGGACGGCCAGGTGGCCGACGTCGTCCTGGGTTTCGACAGCGAGACACCATACAGGGTGAGCATGTGAAAATGCTGATAGGATTCATATTCATGTTTCGTTAGAATGTGCTGCAAGCCTCGATGGTTCGGAGGCTGACAGGGCCTGTTTCGATGGTGCACAGGATGGCACCTCCCCGTACATGGGGGCAGTGGTGGGCAGAGTGGCCAACCGCATCGCCAAGGGCCAGTTCGAGCTGGACGGCGTGACGTACAAGCTGAATATCAACAACGGACCCAACAGCCTGCATGGTCAGGATGAGGGGGGGAAGATGGGAAATTTGCGACACACGAGTGCAGGCAATCACCCTGGTTGTCTTGCGGCAAGAATGAAGGGCGTGATGTGTGGTGCATGCGTTCATGTTCCTGCTGCAGCTGCAATCAGTATCATGAATCGCATCTCGCAATCAACCAGCCCCCATCATCCGCTCAGGTGGTAAGGTGGGCTTTGACAAGCGCGACTTTACTGTCAAGGGGAATGAGCAGGGCAAGTCCGTCCTGCTGGAGTATGTCAGCCCAGATGGGGAGGAGGTGAGGCCAATGGCGCGAAAGAGCTGCTGACGGATAGGCCGCTTGCCCTGCCGCCACGTCTGCTGCCACGAGGAATCCTCCCCCGGATCCATCGCGGCCAGCCTCAGGCTGTCCACTCTGATGTGCTTGCTTTCTCCCCCCAATCCTTATCCCCCAGAACTACCCGGGCACGGTGACTGTCAGCGTGCTGTACGAGCTCACAGACGCCAACGAGCTCAGGGTGACCATGAAGGCGAGCGCCGACAAGCCCACCCCCATCAACCTGGCCCAGCACACCTACTGGAACCTGGGGGGACATGAGTCTGGCACAATCCTGGATCACCAGCTCACCATCCAGGGGTGGGTGGGCTTCATGGTGTTGGTGGCTGGGCACTGACTCGTGGTGGGACCTGGAAAGGCAGTGACAGGATGGTGGGCGCTGTGGCACTGCATGTGTACCTTGCGAGGCGGCCCTCGCGGTGGAGCAGGTACACATTGGAACCGAGGCCTGGGGGTCCCTCTCTGAGGAGCGCCCCAGCTTGCCAGGCCGGGTCGTAGGGCTGCACGCACTGAGCGCTTTGGCCTTCCATACTGATCAAGCATCCCTGGACTCGCACCTCATCCCACAGGGACCACTACACCCCTGTGGACGAGACCCAGATCCCAACGGGGGAGATTGTGCCCGTGGCGGGGACGCCGTTTGACTTCACCACCGCACAGCCTGTGGGCCAGCGCATTGCCAAGACGGAGGGTGCGCGTCGGCGAGGGCAGGCTATGGGCTGGACATTCTGTGGTGGATCCAGTTGGACAACACACGGCCCAGAACATGTCTACATTCACATCCTGCACAGTGCCGCCTTCCCCCCCGCCTGAACGTGCAGGGGGTTACGACCACAACTACGTGCTGTTTGGCCTCGGACCGGCTGCCAAGGACCGGGTCAAGGACGGCGCGGCATTCTCTGTGTGAGTTCATCGGTTTCTTCCATGGGTTGGTGGCTTTTTCTTGGAGCGCCAAGCAGGCTGGAAGGGCATGCTCCTGCGCTGCCGCCAAGGAGGGAAGGATCGACAGCTCGAAGCCCCCTGACTCTCCCCCGCCGCTCTGCCACTGCAGCCCGCAGCCAGCCATCACCCTGGTCGACCCTGCCTCTGGGAGGGCCCTGGAGGTCTGCACCACCGCGCCGGGGGTTCAGGTGTACTCGGGTGAGTCTGGAAGCCCTCGGGCTGCCAGCGCCAGCCTGGTGCAAGGAACTCGTGCCACCACTCTAGGCCAGAGCCCGGAGGGCAGGAGACCGCATCGTGCCCGATGCCTCGTCGCTCCTCAGACGCCTGTCCCTTCCGATCACTGCCCCTCCCGCCCCCCCCTGACCCACAGGCAACTTCCTGGACGGCACCCTGAAGGGCAAGGCGGGGGTGAGCTACGTGAAGCATGCGGGCCTGGCGCTGGAGACCCAGGGCTTCCCCGACGCCGTCAACCAGCCCGCCTTCCCCTCGGTCGTCCTCCGCCCAGGGCATGAGTATGTGCACGCGCTGGTGTACCGATTCTACACCGTGTGAGGGGCCTGGGGCCCCCGGCATGCCGATGGGTCTCAGGGGCAAGTCGTGATTGGTGAAATGCCCTCTTGAACAATCTCTACCCCGTCGACAGCTTGAGGTCTCTGGTGGCAGTGACACTGGGCCAGGCGAGGGGGAGCGTGAGGGTTCAAGTTGAGCGTCAAGTCCGTGAACGGGGCCAGCACGACCACACGCGCCCTACTCCGAATCAGAAGAGGAGGAGCCGTGCGACTTCTTCTTGTGCTTCTTGGACTTCTTGTGTGATTTCTGCGGCAGGATGGGAAGGTGGAGAGGGTGGGACCGGAGCGGCACAAGTGCCGCAGTGTGGGCGAGCACGCCTGGTATCCCGCTGAGCCAGACCAGGCCCGCCCCAGCCGCACCGCACCCTGCTCTTGTGCTTGCGCTTCTTGTCGCTGCGGTGCCGCTTGCTGCCGCCGCTCCTCCGCCTGCCGGCGTCGGAGTCGCTGCCGCTGGCGCTCAGCGCCAGGTCGCTCTCCTCCGACTCCTGCGCCAGCTCCCTGGAGGGGCCGGGGCCCTCGCCCCCAGTGGCCGTCTCGCTCGCGGCGAGCCCGTTGCGGCACTGCTTGGTCAGGTGGCCCACATGGCCGCAGATGCGGCAGGCCCCCCGATCCGCCCCGCCACCGACCGCCCCCTGGCTCTTGGCCAGGTTCAGCAGGCTCTGGTAGTTGGTGATGGCCGTGTCAAAGCCGCCAGTGGCCAGCACGGCGGTGTGCGCAGCGGCGCGGCGCTCCGCCGCCGCCTTCCGCCCGCCGCCGTGGGAGGGCGCATGGATGAGGGCTTCCACGCCCGAGTTGGAGCCCGTCTGCTCACTCACCACGCCGATCACGTTCTCCCACATGGCATTGCCCTGGAGCGCCACGCTGCAAAGTGAGGAAGCCAGGGAGGGAAGGGAAGGGGGTGGTCAGAGCGGGCAATTTGTATCAGCAGGCCAGTGTGGCCGTCCACCGGCACTACATACAGCTCGAGGGCCGCATGGCCTTACAAAGCGCCGACTATAGGACACTCGGCTGCGCATCTCAAACAAACGATAGAAACCCACGGGCAAGGCTGACGAATGGAGCCCGGCGCCCGGCAAGCCTTCCTCACCTCGTGCGAACGCGGTTCTGGGATGCTTTCAACACGCCACGGGTTGGCACTGTGGCCACCATTGTTATTTATGACTGTTGAACAATAGTTTTTGTGGACTCTTGAGCCACGCGGCAACACCGTCTGGGAGGGGTGCAGCGCCAGGGATGGTATCTATTCTTGACGTGGAAGCAGAACGCTGAGCTACAAACAATGAAGCAACCGATAGACTCTTCGTTCCGAGGTCGAAGGAGCAAAGAGTCAGGATGCAGGACGCAATGCTGAGGCCGTCGCGGGACCAGCCCCGATGGGAGGGTGCATGATCTGTGCCATGTTCAGCACTCCCCTGGGTCGACTCTTCAGGACGCCCAAGTGGTTGTGCATCTCATGCTAACTGCCCTTCTCGTCAATCTGTGGGTTAAATATTATGAGTGAAAAGCGAGGCCCCTACACAAGTGGTGTACTGGATGCATAGATATGCCAAGGTGCCTTCCGAGGCTCTCTGACCAATGACCTGCCTCATAACTTACTCAATGGCCTAAGCATGATCAGTGTCTAGTAATCAAGTTGGATTGGCGAGGGTAGCATGGTACAGCGGAGCACAGGGTGCATAATATACACCCAGCCTGGGGCTGGCATCCCTTGGCGCCTCTCCCCAGATCATGGGAAGAGAGCCCGCAGCTGACAATTGAGACGGAACTGGAGGAGGCCCCTGTGCGCCTGGGCAGTCGCAAAGGCAGCTTTACAAAGCGGACAGAGACCAGGGATGTCGACCCTGCTGTGCAAGGCGTGCAGCTTCTCATCAACTCCTCAACATGGGGACTTTGGGGCGCTGGGCCCCACATCCCATCAGAGGCATCGATTGGCCGCAAACGAAGGTCCCTGGCCGTGCAGTGTCAGATGGCCATTGACTGTCGATGTGGAGATCTCTTCATGTGAACATAAGCTTTCGCATTGTCGTGGGCATCACTCCCGACGGGCTAGGCAGTGTGACCCAATGCTGGCACCCATCGCCCGTCCGATCCTACCTCCACCCCTACTTGGGAGCTTGCACCAGGCCTCCCAATCACAAAGTTCCCAACCAGGCGAGGTGTCCATTGCGCGCTTGACCCTTGCCATGCAGAGGTCGCTAGTCCCTTCCCATCTCGTCTTCCCCGGTCATGCATTTTCTGCTTGTCTCACATCATCTGTCGTACGGTACATGAGCGCGTCATCCGGGTGCCGCATCCCTGCAATGAATCGCGGCACGGTGGCTGCATGCGAGTTGCCGCCAGGCACTCCTCCCTACACCTGCTCGACCTAGTGATCGTGGGCGGTGAACTGATTGTCGGGGAATGCAATATCCAGCATTGTATGGTGTACGCAGCTCCGTAGCACATTCAAACAAGCAAGTAGGGCTTTAGGTGTTAGAGTATGAGGAATTGAATGTGGTCAGGTACGGCTTCACGGCAAGGGCTCGGGCCCTGCTTGCCTCGGATAAGCACGACCAACACGCTCATGGCTAAAGGCCTGGCGCGAGCGCAGGCCGCCCCAATCCATCACAAAATGAGCGATTGACTTCGGGGTGTGATGTTCGTAGCTTGATCCCACCTTTGGCCCAAAGGCTCTGGGACAGGTCACGTGCCGACGGGAACGCCGTCATCATCGTGTCATCGAGGCCGTGAAGGGGGGTAATGTGAGCATCTCCATTGCGGGGAAGGTGCGAGGATCCGGGAAGACAAGTTGCTGTTCAAGGCGTTCTGAGAGTTTGAGTGGCTGTGATATTTTACGATTCGTGTTCGACAGGCTAACGTCTTGTCCTCGATGGCAAGCCTGGATGTTCCGGACCGGCAAGCACTTTCCGGCTTCCCGCGACGGAAATTTCACAAGCCGCCCAGTTCCAAAGCGCAACCCGGAGCTACAACGAGGCGGGTGCATCGGCCTGGGGTTCTCAAACTTAGCTCCAAGTCAAGTACCAACAGTGCATGGACCAGCGCATGTGATAGATCAAAGTCGGGGGATCCCACCTTCCACAAAACTGGACTAACAAACGGAAAAGTAAGACTGCCGGACGATACAGGATGCCGTCGGCGTCCAGGAACCCCACCTTCCTGGCTGGACTTATACTCATTCTGACCAGATGTGCCTTTGCGGTGAGTTGAAGTGCTCGCTTGTCGATGTCGGTCCCGCGTGAGTCAGACGATCTTTGCCGCTGCCTCGCTTACCTGCCCAGCTTCCTCGACCACCGCAGGCACATGCAGCTCCACATTCATCGCGCTTCCCAGTGCAATGTGAGTCGCGTGCTGTGTTTGATTGGGGGGGAGAGGGGATGTGCGGTGCCGGTGACGCCCCTTTCCGCTCGAAGTCCTCCGAGACGCGGCTCCGGTCAGGCCCCAGTATCCGTATCGAATGATTAAGCTTGGTGGAAACATGCTTCCTTGATCATGCACACGAGCACTGCACTCGAGTCGGCCCATCGCGTCAGGCCTGCACCCGATGCTTCTCCAACATTTCGCACATGTTCGATTCCTTGCAGCCTAGGAGCCCGTGTGTACCAAATGACAACTGATAATGCAGATGCCATTTGCAAGTGAGTAGCGGAGAGAGGGTTGTGGTAGCAGAGCATGTGCGTGTGCATCACTGGGACGAACTCTTTTGGTTGGTCATTGAGCAGCCTTGGCATCTAACATGTACCACAAAAAGCACACTCCACTCTGTGCTCGCTCAAATTGACGATGAGCAGGCATAAAGGCTTTAGCAGGGCGGGGTCCATTCGCACCTCCACCCTCCACATCATGGGACTGTCCATGCAAGCCATTCGAGTGAGCAATTTTGAGGTCATGTCAATGCGCTCAACGGAGGTCCTTACAGCCGTGGAGTGCCTTGCGGTGGGCCAGAAGGCGTGCACGGCGGACAGCAACGGCAACATTGGCTCCGACAACAAGGGCAAGAACAACTTTGGCACCAAAAACATCGGGAATGATAACATTGGTGAGCAGGGGGTGGGGTGCAAAAAGCATGCAGGATGTGCACAGCCGCTGCATGCTCAAGTTGAATAGCCTGATGTATGATACAAGCCTACCTTTGCAGGTAATTCTAACGTGGGGACCGCCAAATGGGGAAACAGCAACCATGGCACGGGTAATCGCTGCTTCAACAAGACAGGGAACACCAAGGTCATCAATAACTGCAGCCTTTTTGAATTCCGCAAGGATGCTTGGGTCCTGTATTTCCCGCCGCCTCCCGTGAAGAAGTATCCACCCCCGTCTGTCATGAAGTCTCCAGCCCTGCCTGCTAAGAAGTCACCGCCACCCCCCGCACCACTCAGTCACCATCCCCACCCACCAGTCACTCGCCACAACCACCCACCAGCAAGTCTGCACCCCCACCCGCCAAGAAGTCCCCACCCCCACCCTCCAAGATGTCTCCACCCCCACCCGCCAAGAAGTCACCGCCACCGCCTGCAAGAAAATCTCCGCCACCACCCACTTCCTCCCCTCCGCCCAGCCCTTCTCCTCCACCGAGCCCTCTTCCCTCACCACCCCCACCACCTCCACCGAGCCCTCCTCCCTCACCACCTCCCCCAAGCCCTCCTCCCTCGCCACCTCCACCACCTCCACCGAGCCCTCCTCCCTCACCACCTCCCCCAAGCCCTCCTCCCTCGCCACCCCCCCAACCTCCCCCAAGCCCTCCTCCCTCGCCACCCCCACCACCACCACCAAGCCCCTCACCTCCACCCCCACCGGCACATACGACTGCCACACTTGAGTTCAGAGATCCTGTAGATGGAAAGGTCGACATCACGTGTTTTGTTACCACTCCGTTGTACACTCCCCGCATGGTCACGTGATCCTTGTTTACTTCCTTACTAATCAGAGAAAGACTAATGACAAGTTTCAGCCCCCAGTCCGCCACCACAATGATCGTGGATGAGTCAATGCCGGTGAAATTGCGGGATGAGTATGCTCTTGGCTCCGCAGCTGTGATGTCGACTAATAATGATTTCAAAGAGGTGGTGCCCCTGACTCTGCTCAATCATTATTCACCACCTCCTCTGGGAGCTGCCCCACCACCACCAACATTTGGGTCCATAACCGGAACTGTCAGTAGAGCAGGGACAACATTCACATTCTCCTAGACAATTACTAGCTTCACCCCAGACTTAGGCTACTTCGCGTTTTTGACGGCTGATGGTGCCATAATCCAGAGCACATCCCAAATGTTCATGTCGAGCCCGTACGGTTACACGACGACTTTGGATGCTTCCAGGGCAGCACTCGCGTCCTACGCCCAAGCAGTGGCCACCAAGAATGGAGCGGGCAGCACAAACGTCCTGACCTTGAACTGGTGAATCTGGTGCATTGCTTCCCATTGATGGCTTTCAAACAATGCTTTCTGAATGGCTTTAGGGTGTGTAGCCCAATGAGGACTGCTTGATGGGGACGCTGGTCTGTAGCTTTATAGGCACACAGAGAGAGTAAGCTGCCCCGAGACATCTGAGAACCAAGAGGCAGATAGCCACTGATTGCCACAACTCCAACTCCTGCCCTGCTCCTGTCGCGGATTGATGGAGGCACGATCGATATTCGAGATAAGTACATGCATACCTTAGAAACTAGGCCAACCCTGATTTACAGCAATGTCTCAGTTTGCGTGCACTGTCCGTCGCATTTTCTTGACCACGAACCAAGGATTCCAGTTCTTACGAAAGATCTGCAGATGCATGATACTATGCTGTCGCTTCGATGTTTCTCCTGGGTAATCCATCCTATTGACGATTGCAATTTTAATGCACAGCAAACTAGCGCCCTCTCCCTATCAGGATGATCCTTTCATTCCAGAGCTTGATGAGGTGCATCAGTGTGGGCACATTGCCCAATGGAAAGCAGTCTATGCCGTCAATTTCCTGGAAGAGCAACCAGGGGGATGCTACTGAGACAACCTTATGTTGTCCTTTGGGATTCCTGGCGAAATTGACGTCATGCATCGATGGTCCACGTACGGCAGTCGTTCATCTGCTGCAGGGGACTGAGTTGCAGTGTGTGACAATCCAAAAATTCTCGAATCGTGAGCCTCAATGTCCGCTCCAGCCAGAAATTGCCGAGGGTAGTCAATCCTCTGGAAGCTTTCCTCATTAAGTTTCTGACACCCCCCCCCGATTCGGGCCTTGAAATCGCGGATTCTGGATTCTGGGCGTTCAGAGCAAGAAAGAACGGATTTCCTTTTTTCACGTTCCAGGGGCGATGGACACACGGCCCTGTAAACAGCGCTTCTGCACCCATACCAGCTCATCAACACCCATATCTCGTCCCCCGCTTTTGTAATGCAGGCTTGCGCATAAGCGGCCCCTCTCCTAGCCACGGAGACGTCATGATCAAGGGGATCGGCCAGTGGCATCGAACCCTCCCGTTCCGCCCCTAGACAGCGAGTTGCACGTGCAGCATTGGTCCAAAGACCCCCGCATTGCGCCTTGGAAGCCCTTTGCTCCTGCATGGACCTCCACCAGCGGGGAAAGCGCAGCCCTCGGCCCTACATGAAGCCCGAGAAGAGGCCCGACATAGTGTCGCCCTCCAGTCCGAGCCTGCAGGCTGCCGACATCATGACAGCCCCGCATGTGCCCCTGACCAACACCTTTCGGCTGGGCAACACGATCCTCGTCGTCCTGTGAGCTCGATGGGGGTTCGGGGTGCCGCCTCGCGATCTGCATGGGTATGCAAACGGGAGTGGAGGGGGAGCTCGGGCAGGGTCCAGCACCTACGCTGCATGCCCTCCCCCCGCCTCTCCCGATGCAGAGCCAACAGTATCTCCTATGCCGCCTGCATTGCCTACATGCTCTGGCTTCGCCCAAGTGACTGCCCCATGGCCACAGCATTTTATGCAGAGGCAGGTCCTTTCCTAATTTTTGGACAAAGGGAGGGGGGGGGCGGTTGATAGGGTACTCTGAATTAAGATGAAGGCTCGCAATCAGCCCTGCATGCGAGTGGATATGGAGGATGGCGCGGCTCCCACACCTTGCCAGGCCCCGCTGCAAGCGGTGGCTATCCATGCGCGGCCGGGCAGA